ATAAATTATCAAGAAGACATATTGAGAAAGTTGAGGGGACCAGCAGTTAGTGTAATGGCTTTATGTCACGGGACTTCCATGTAGTTGACCACAGTTTGAGTCCTGGACCTGATGGCTTAAACTCACGCCAGGTGTGTGTGCATGCATGCGTGCTCAAGATCCCGAGAGGAGAATGGAAGAGAAGGGATTGCAGTGTGGCCATCTTCCCAGGGGGATGATTTTTGCTTTCTGTCTCTCTGTGTCTTTCTGGCAAGCACACACACACTCTAGCAAAAACCTCTCCAAAAAAAAAAAAAAGTTGAGTATTAAAATCTATTTTATCAGAGCATCATTAAGTAGTAAAGATGACTATAATTCGTTTGAAAATAGGCATGAAGTGTGTGCATGCATGCGTGCTCAAGATCCTGAGAGGAGAATGGAAGAGAAGGGATTGCAGTGTGGCCATCTTCCCAGGGGGATGATTTTTGCTTTCTGTCTCTCTGTGTCTTTCTGGCAAGCACACACACACTCTAGCAAAAACCTCTCCAAAAAAAAAAAAAGTTGAGTATTAAAATCTATTTTATCAGAGCATCATTAAGTAGGAAAGATGACTATAATTCGTTTGAAAATAGGCATGAATAGAGTTAGTTGTTGAAGTTATCATTTTGTCCTTTGTAACTGGTAGTATCTGATTTTGCTAGAGGGCAGAGAGAGAGACAGAGAAACATTGGAATTGACTAAAAGTTAGCTAAGTAAAATATTTTTAACTTTACCTTGTTCTAAAGCAGAAAAAAAGTTATTAATCTGAATTTATATTCCCACATTATCTTCATCATAGCTGTTGATGAATTTGAATCCAATTCAGAGGTGGGTTTAAGCAGCACTTTATATTCCATAATAAACTGTCAAGAGTAATTAAGGGGCCAGCAGGTCATGTGGTGGTTAAAGTCACTTGACTCCCACATGGCCGACCGCAGTTCTAGTCCCAGACCTGGTGGCTTGCTTTCTCACTTTCCTTTTCTCTCTCTCTGTCTCACTCTGTCCTTCTCTGGTCATATTTAAATAAATAAAATTAAGTAATTCTTTTAAAAAAAGGGTAATTAAGAACTAATGAAATACTCCTATAAAAATCAGTAACACAAGTTACTTAATAACAAAGTTATTACTGAAATTATTCTCCAAGGTCTTTCTGAAGTCGTATCGGCATCATAAAGATCTAAGTAAATTATAACTTTTCTAATTGGTTTTAAGCCATTTTAGCTGTAGACTGGTTCAAATCCTGTCAGCAACTGGGTCAGTTCCTGTATCTCTAAATCTCCACCCCCAACCCCACTGCTCACAGTGAAGTAAATGACTGAATAATCAATCAGGTATTCAAGATAGTCCATCTCGATGCCTATGGACTCAAAAAATCACATTTTCCTTCATTATAAACACAATTCTAGCAAAGTTTGGGTCATTACTCGGCTTGAAATCTTGGTACTCTTGCGAACCTGACACTAAGGGAAGAGCTTTTATGGTAAGAAATGGACTAGTTTGAGAAGCAGCAGAGAATCTTTCTTTCTTTCTTTTTTTTTTTTTTGAGAAGTTTTTGCTATAGGGCCCATGCGCTCACCAGAAAGAGAGAGACAGAGAGACAGAAAGCGAGAAATCACCCCCCAGGGGGATGACCATGCCACAATCCCTTCTCTTCCATTCTCCTCTCGGGATCTTGGGCATGCATGCACATGTGCCTGGCGTGAGTTTAAGCCACTGGGCCCAGGTCTTGAACCGTGGTTGACTACATGGGAGTCCAGCGACATAGCCATTATGCTAACTGCTGTTCCCAAGTATCTTTCTTTCTTTTAAGATTCATTTTTAAAATTATAAAATGAATTCATTTCCCATGAAAAATTTAAAACCCAGATCTGCATGCGGCATGGTGGTTAAGATGCTGGACTCTTACATGGCCAATTGTGGTTTGCATCCTAGACCTGACTGCTTGCTTGCCGGGGTCCAGCCTTGGCGGGGGTGGGTTGTCTTGTCGAAAGTATCTTTCTTTCTTTTAAGATTCATTTTTAAAATTATAAAATGAATTCATTTCCCATGAAAAATTTAAAACCCAGATCTGCATGCGGCATGGTGGTTAAGATGCTGGACTCTTACATGGCCAATTGTGGTTTGCATCCTAGACCTGACTGCTTGCTTGCCGGGGTCCAGCCTTGGCGGGGGTGGGTTGTCTTGTCGAAGGTGGCCCAGGAAGGAAAGACTGAGGCCTCAGTGCCTTTTTCATGCACGTCCTCTGTCGGACACTCCCAGAGATCGCTCTCTGTAGAGTGACAACTGCTAGTAAGCAGAGTTAATTATCAGCCGATGTTCGACAGTAGCCGTCTTGCAATTACTAAAAGAAATTCTCAAGTATAGGTATGAGTTCTTATGGATCTGAATAAAGAATAATACTTATATAATTCTATAGGGATCTACATTTTTTAGAGAGGTTTTTGCTATAGGGCGCGTGTGCTCGCCAGACAGAGAGAGACAGAGAGACAGAAAGCGAGAAATCATGCCTCAGGGGAGATGGCCACTCTGCAATCCCTTCTCCTCCATTCTCCTCTTGGGATCTTGGGCACGCATGCACACATACCTGGCGTGAGTTTTAAGCTACCGGGTCCGGGACGCGAACCGCGGTCGACTATGTGGGAGTCCAGCGACATAGCCATTGTGCTAACTGCTGGTCCTCTATAGGGGTCTAAAATTTAATTAGAGGAATCCTAATATATCTATTTTAAAGGGATGACCCTACTGTTTACTTGGTGAGAATAAGGGGATACTTTAAACAGCTTCTCCAACTAGCAGTACTGGTTTTTCTTAAGTCAAAAGTAAAATGACTAACAAGTTAATGAAAAACTTTAAAGTGGATTTATGGTACCTAAGTGTTTTGTTGTGGATTCACTTGTAGCCTATGGCACCACTGTTATGTATTTTGTTAGAACATTAGTTACCATGGGGCGAGAGTGTCCTGGGCCAGTTTTGGCCTAATCCTATTGTATGTAATAAGGTTATTTATATTAAATGTGGTCAGGGCAAAAGGGAGCAGTTGGGGGACTTTTGGGAAATCTTACCACATACTCAAGATGTATGAGAAAGCTATGTAATTCTTTTATAGTAGTATATCAGGGAGTCAGAGGGGGGGGTCACTTCCCAGCAAGGCTACTACAGTCTCTGGAGCATATAACAAGCGGCCTTGCCAACATGCTGAGTCGACCCAAGCTTGCTCATAGGTCGGGGGTGGGGAGGGGGTGTACAGCAGCGGCCTTGTCAACATGCTGAGCCGACCAAGGCTGTGCTCAAAGGTTGAAGGCTCAAACAGATCCTGGGGCCCCACTGGGTCGGACTCCTCCACTTGCTTTCTCACTTTCCCTTTCTCTCTCTCTAGTCTAATTAAAATATTAATAATAATAATGATAAAATTACATAAATAAATAATTCTTTAGAAAAATTTAAAACCACACAGGCATATATAAGCTAAGGTGACATCTCTTTTGTTTCCTTTTTTAACATCCTATATTCCTGCTTCTCAAAAGTAACTGGCTACAAGTGCTCCTTCCTTTTCTTTTCATTTCTTTTCTCTTTTGAAGGCCTGCTCTGCTGGGCATTGTATAGTCACATTCAGTGCTTTCTGTTCTGCCACATAGACAGTCATTGCTCTTCATCTAGAAGGATTCACCCCTTTGGGCTGACTCACAACTTTTGAGAATTTGATGAGAGAGTTGATTCTTTCCTGAGAAAAATGCATGTACAATGCAAATACTTACATATGTTTGTAGGATGTTCAGATAACTCCAGACACCCTGAGAATGCTGCACTCCGGGAAAAGAGACCTCTTTTAGAAATAAGTGGAGAAGCTAGGGGCCAGCAGGTGTCATGGTAGTTAAGGCACTGGATTCCCACATGGCAAACCGCAGTTTGAGTCCCAGACCTGGAAGTTTGTTTTCTCACTGCCCTCCCACCCCCCCATCTCCCTCTGGTCAGATTAAAAAAATAATAATAAATAATGTTAAATAATTTTTTTTTAAAAAAGAAAGAAAAAGAAAGAAGTTCAGAAGCTATCAATGTCCAGAATTCTAAGCTAATACTGTTCCAGACTTTCCTGTGACTTGGAAAAGATGCACCTGCTGCATATTCATTCTGTCCTCCTGTACTAAGGAATGACTAGAGCATCCCCTGTTGATTTCACAGGGATGTTAGTAATATTCTTAGGTTCCAAGATTATTGCTAATGGAAATTAAGCTGAACAGGAATGGGGCCCATTTTTAAATCTTTGGGAGTACTTTTTTTTTGTTTTGTTTTAAGAATTATTTAATTTAATTAATTAATTTTTTTGAGAAGTTTTTCGCTATAGGGCGCATGCGCTCACCAGACAGACAGAGAGAGACATAGAGACAGAAAGCGAGAAATCACTCCCCATGGGGGATGGTCACGCCACAATCCCTTCTCCTCCATTCTCCTCTCAGGATCTTGGGCACACACGCACACGGGCCTGGCGTGAGTTTTAAGCCACTGTGTCTGGGCCGCGAACCGCGGTTGACTATGTGGGAGTCCAGCGACATAGCCATTATGCTAACTGCTGGTTCCCCAATTAATTTATTTTTAATTTGACCAGAGAGGGACAGAGCAGAGTGAGGGGAGGAGGGAATGAGAAAGCAAGCCACCAGGTCTGGGACTCCAACTGTGGTCGGCCATGTGGGAACTCAGTGCCTTTAACCACCATGCCACCTGCTAGCCCCTGGAAGTACTTTTATCCTGTGTTTGATTTGTGGATATGCAGCTTGCATTTTAGAAATACCTTGTTTTCCTCAATTAGTCAATGTTTTATATAATTCATGTGATTTTTCTCTCCCTTTATGTGTAAGATTGCAATTTGGCAAGTGGGTTGCCCAATTAATTTGTAAAACATCATTTATTATGGTCTGTGAATGTCTACCCCTGTCAATATTTTAGTTAAGCTGCCTTACAAAAAATGATGTTTGTTTATTTTACAGAAGGACTGTGATTTGGAAAGGGGCCCTGATGAAAAACTGGATGAGAATCAGCACTTTGATTTAACTAGTGGGCCCAAAAGCCTTCCATGGACCAGGAAGTTCTATGAATTCTACAGTGCTCCCATTGTCAAGTTTTGGTTTTATACGGTTGGTCTCATTACAACAATATGTTTTGTATTAAGGATGATTAACACTAATGTTAACGTTGATAATGATATGTCTGGTTTGCTAGTTTGTAACATAAATATAGACAGGTCATAAAAAGAGTGAAGGGATGACCCAAAAAGCAGGAAAGAACACTAAAAGAAGGTCAGGAAAGGTTGAATGGGGCTGGCCTACCTTGGAAATTTGACAACAAGCCTTTTCCTTTTCTTGAGTGCTTAGAGTCAGCATAGCTGCTACTGAGAGCATTTGAGGGTTCGTAAAACAATAAAATTAACAGCAGTGTTTGTAGAATTATGTGATAAGTGAATGTATTCTTTTCCTAACTTGGTCAAGAAAACCAGTAGTCAAATCCATTTTTTCTTTGTGGGAATAATATGCAGACAAGAATAAGCAAGTGTTTGTTTTTGTCTTCAATATCATAAATGTATAGAGGGTAATAGAAACGTATGGCTAGTAGAGATACAAAGAAAGCATGAACTGTACTGTAAATATATTGAGTGCCTTCCATATTTATTTAGTAGCATTTATTTTTCTAATGCTTATCTGTACTTAAATCCCTCTTGACCAAGGTTTTATATTTCTAAAATATGTGAAGTATGACTATGAAGTACGTTTATCTAAATATGTTATGTTTACACATACTCACTTGGCCAACCACACCTTCGTTTAATATACTTATCAAGTTAGTACATAGCTCTGAATGACTTGTATCTGTTTTCAGTAAATCTCCCTTCAAATTAGGACATTTAACCACATTGGTGAATAGGGAACAAAATATTCAAGAGATTTTGGTAGGCGCTCTGAAGGAATTTTAACCGTAGTCACATCATTGGGAAAAGAGGATTCAAATGTTTCTCTCGTTAGAAATTTCTAGCTCAGAAGCTTCTAGAGGCAGGAGCAAAGCTAAGAAATGGACCAGACCAGCCAGATCTGCCCACCATATCAGATGGCAATTTTTCTTTTTAGAATTGTGTATTTAACTTTATTTGTCATTATTATTTTAAAATTTTCTGTAGAGCACATGCACTCACCAAAGAGAGACAGAGAAAGAGATAGGGAAAGTGAGAAAGCAAGCCACCAGGTCTGGGACCTGAACCGTGGTTCGCTATGTGGGAGTCTAGCACCTTACCCACCATGCCACCTGCTGGTCCTGAGCACAGGCATTTTAATTTTGGCTGTCACATTGCTAGACTATGGTATGCATTTTATAGAAGGAGTTTCTTGCTATAAATATTTTCATGAAAAAGTTAAAATGCAGTCATTTTTGTATCAAATTTTTAAGAACTGGAAAGAAGGGGCCAGCAGATGTGTAGAGGTTAAGGTACTGGACTCCCACGTGGTCTATTGCAGTTTGAGTCCTGGACCCAGTGGCTTGAAACTCATGCCAGTCATGTGTGCACGCGTACTAAAATCTTGAAGGAGAATGGAGGAGAAAGGATTGCATAGTGGCCATCCCCCTGCGGGGGGGCAATATCTCACTTTTTGTCTCTCTGGCAAGCACACACATCCTGTAGCAAAAATCTCTTAAAAAAAAAAAAAAGAACTGGAATGAAACAAAAAGGGTTAGACACACTATCACCAATATCTAGAATATTTCAGTGCCACTTAATTTTACCTACATGTAAATTATTTGGTTGCTTGTAGCCATTGTGCACATAGTCTTAAAACAGCTGTTAGGAACTCGGCTCTCTCCGAGCAGCTTATGGTTGGGTAGGGAGGCTCTGTATGTAAATGGTTCTAAGATAAGGCAGAGAATAATGAAAAATAAAACTGAAAGAAATGCAGACAAATGACGGTTCTAATAAGAATAAAAGTTAAGGAGTCAGTTTTCTGGTCACTGTGAAGCCTGTGACAAAAATGTATAAAAGCAACAACAAAAAGACTGCTTCATAGAATCAGTTTAATTAAATTATGTCCCTAAGGAGTCATCAAAAATTCTCAGACTTTGGAAGAAGATTCCTCATGACTCCTGCAAACTAGTCAGTTCAGGGAAAAAGAGAAATTAAGATTTTCTACTGATAATTCAGCCTCCAGCAAACAAGCTGGTGTGATAGGGAGCCCCTATGGCCCTTTATCTCTGTCTCTGTGTCTCGGT